AGCAGGTGAAAGTCCATGCTGGGGATCATCCACTGGTTTGAGGTGAAACCCTCCTTCATGCTTCTTTGCTTTGCTAAAGCAACTGCATGATGCCCTGTGTATTGGCTCTAAGACCCAGGAGGAGCCTTTGCACTGGGATTATGGAGGGGAGGGGGAGAAAGTAGGTGGAACAGAGAGGAATAGAGGGGTTTTTTTAAGGTCCAGCCAATAGGCTTGTGCAGCCCAGGCATCTTATGTCTGTGACCAGTGGATCTAATTGCTTGTATAAAAGATAGTTCATTAGAAGCCGGCTTGTCAGTGCAATTTGGTACATATGAAAGGGCAAATCGGTGGTGTGTGTGTGACCCACCAGGTCCTCCCTGCTGGACGCCAGGCCAGTGCATCCCTGCTGAGAACTGCCTGCCAGACCTGGGCCCTTTGGATGCAAGAGGCATTTTTGGCTGGGAGCTGTCAGCTGGATGAGCCAAGCTGGGCTTCCCTTGGCTTGTGTGTGCGCTGGGACAGCATGTGGCTTTTGTAGTTTCTTTTTTCCACTTTGGAAGTTGCTTGGCCTGGGAGTGCAGCCGGCTCCCTTCTGAGGCTTTGGCTCTGAGCAAGGTTTGGCAGTGGAGGGAGAGGGGAACCTGAGCTAGGCTTTTGCTGGGACGCAGGGAGAGCTGCTGAGACCATGAGAGCCCGAGGCACTAATGTAAGGTATTTTCTGATCTGTTGTGGCTGGCTTCTGGTGAGCGGGCAGCTGAGAGGCACAGAGGCAGGATGCAGCAACCGGGGGAGCCATCAGTGCTGCCCTGGGAGGAATAATGCGTGCTCGGATCTCACGAGCTGGAGGACTGCCTGCTACTGTGACACTTACTGTGAGAAGACCGGAGACTGCTGTGAAGACTACCAAGCCGTGTGTCAGAGATCGGGTGAGTAGCCAGGCTGGGGAGAAGCATGGTTTCACACCCACCCCCTTTCCTGCCTGCTTGCCTCATGCAGCTACAGATCAGCCTGGGTTTATCCAAGGAGCTTGCAGGGACTGCTTCTTTTCTCAGTGACTCTGGTGTGGATCAAAGTAACTCCATGAAAGCCAATGGGGTAACGCTGGCATGGAGCTGGTAGAGGAGTGGATAGGGCCCATCGATTTTTATGTTGGGGGGTGGGGGCGGAAGGTGCCAGTGGTTCCTTAAGGGTCTGTTAACCCAAGTTTGGTGTTCTGCCTCCTTCACACTCATCTCCTCTGTGCATTTGGAGGCTTTGCTGAGAGCTTCAAGGAAGCTGCTTTTTCACGGGCTCGTTTTTGCCAGCTGGGTTGGATGTGGTTTTGCTTGCAGTGGCCCGGATGCTGCTGCCAGTGAGAGTCAGCGCAAAGCTCTCAACAATTTTACTTGGATTGAGGTCTCTTCCTATTGCTGCCCTGGGCTTTCCTGTCTGTGGCCTTGTGAGCTGGACTTTTGCTGACCCTACCTGGGAAAGGAAGAGTCAAGCAATGCCTTTTGGGCTGTGCTGATGGAAGAAGGGTGGAAGGCTGGACTGTATGTATGAGCCTGGGCAGCTTTCAGAAATGAGCACCATTGTAACAAGGCGCTGAATGCAATTGTGCCACAGGTGTTATAAGGGCATCTGCAGTGGGGGAGGAGAACAGTAAGTGGATTTTGAAAGGTGAGGAGTCTGAGCATTGGAGAAGGGAAAGCGGGAGCTGCCCGTGGGTTGTCTAGAAGGTTGACCAGTTAGGAGAAACATCTGTGGCACCACCAGCAGGGCTGTCCCAGTGGGGGAAACCTCATTGATTCTGGTTTCATTTTGGTGGGAGGTCACTCAAATATTGTTGCACATGGAGAGCGTGACTTATTCCCTAAGCACCCATGAAGGGTTGTTGTTTTTTTTCCAGTGAAACATCTGATACTGGCTATTGGAGGCAGGAATTTGGACCCTTGTGTTGCCCTATTCCTGATAGACAGCATCAGACCAGAACTGGCTTATCCAAGCTCCTTTTTTTTTTTTTTTTTTTTTTTTTTTGGCATTAAAGGAATTCATTTTGTCGCACATACAGCTAGTTTCTCATCCATTTACTCACTTTGTGGACCTCCTTCATTTGCTGATGGGCCTGCTGATTTCAGGAGCAAGGTCCTGTGTATTACAGAATGCTTGATATGTATTATATGTAAAGAGCTGGTTAATAGATAACAAGCAGGGGAGGTGAAGTCAGAATTGGGCCCTTTTTTCTCTGCACGTGGCTGTTTTTGTTCATTTTATACTTTCTTTAGCAAGGTGAGCACCTCTCAGTGAGGGTTGCCTACCCACCAGGGTTATTCCAGAAGAGCTCTGGTGTGAACAGACACAGCAGCTGTTACTCCAGAGTCACTTCCCCTTTAGTCTCTGTGGTTCTGCAATTAGAGCTCCTTTTGGTAGTTTAGTCCAGTGGTTTTCAGCCTTTTTTCATTTGTGGACCCCTAAAAAATTTCAAATGGAGGTGCAGACCCCTTCGAATTATAAGTGTGGGCGTTCACATACTTCTGATGGATCATAGTCATATTTCATGGACACCTTAGATATGTCTCCAGACCGCCAGGGGTCAACAAATCACAGGTTGAAAACCATTGGTTTAGGCTGATCCCCTTCCAAAGTGGATCAAGCTAATTGGGAACAAGGCACGTTTCAGCTGTGTCTGCACTGCTCTTTGGAGGTGTGACTACCAAGATAGTCTCAGTCTAGCTCGTCTGGGTAAGCACAGCAGGAGAACCTGATGACACAAGATTCGGCGTAGGTTACGGCAGCCTGCTTGCTCCTGGCACTGGGGACTGCGTATTGCCCAAGGTCTGAGCCATGCTGCTGTCACAACTCCTGGGTGCAGTGTAGACAAGCCTATGGTCCAAAAGGGAGTCTACAGGGGGAGCCGTTGCAGCAAAACTATTGGGCAGTAGCTATTTGGGTCTATTTCTCCATGCAGACTGAGCTCTCTCTCCCCATTCAACTAAACACTCAGCTAACCCATTTCAGCAAGTGTTTTAGGACGGGGAGAAATGCTCCAGTGGTTCTATTTACCGATTGATTTGCACGTCCTTCTGGAGCGCAGCGCGTTGCTTTCAGGGCATCCTGTGTGGGATAAATTAGAGCAGTTCATTAACTTATCTGCAAAGTGACAACAATGATAAATTGTCTAGCACACTTGTGCTAACTATTGTCTAGCACAAGAAGTTGTATCTAGAGAGACTATTAACTGGTGTATTTTTTGTACTCCTCTAGTAAATCTTAAACCAAAATACCCTATTTTCTTACATACAGCATGCCCAGGACTAAGATACACACCTTGGTTTTGAAAGGCAGGATAAAAAAAAAAAAAAATCTTTCCTTGAAAATATGGTAAGTAGCAGTAAGGAACGGAGTAGCAGGAGTTGGGGAGTGCAGCATGCTCATTGTGCCACTCTCTGGGGAATGCATACAGCCTTACTTTTGCTTTCCTTCCCAGAGGCTTAAGTGGCAGAAATTGCAGTCAACGTATTTCTTTGCTTATAAATGCTCACCCCAGTTCCCAGCAGTTGATTTTTGTCGGGAAAAGGGTGTGTGCGTTGTATGTCAGAAAATATGGTACTTGCCATGAGCAATTTACCATAAAGCCCATGAAATGAGGTGCCACTCAAAACTTCCTGCCTTAGTTTCATTAACTAGCGTGACTGTAAATCAAGGGGTAACCATGGTGTTAACTGGGCTTCACGGCAGATTGCAGTTGTCTGATCATAAACTCAGAGACAGAAGAGACTGAAGGGTGGTTACAAAGTGGATGGAGCTGGACTATTCTCTGTGGTGGCAGATGACAGAGCAGGGAGCAATGGGCTCAAGCTGCAGCAAGAGAAGTTTAGGTTAGATATTAGGAAAAAACTCTCTCACGAGGAGGGTAGTGAAGCACTGGAACAGGTTACCCAGAGAGGTGGTGGTATTTCCATCCTTGGAGGTTTTTAAGACCCAGGTAGACAAAGCCTTGGCTGGGATGATCTAGTTAAGGATGGTCCTGCTTTGAGCAGGCGATTGGACTAAGTGACTTCCTGAGGTCCCTTCCAGCCCTCATTTTCAATGATTCGATTGATTCTAAGCTCCAGCGTTGTTCTAGTTGTGTGCTGGGGCTTGCGTTGGGCTGTCCCTGTGGAGCAGGGTCAGGGTCAGTGATGAGTAAGACAGGCTGAGACAAGAAGTACCTCTGGAGGCTATGTAGGGAAGGCCTGCTCAGAGCAAGCGTGGGCTAGTGGTTAATACACAGGGTAGTAGTGTGTAGTAGCTTCTAATCCCAGCTGTGCGTCTTTGCCTTCTCTCTGAGGATCTTTATAGAGGTACCCAAGTAAACTCATTCCCAATTTTCCCCCTTCACCCAAACCTGGGGGACACTGAGCACCACTGTTTTCCATGCTCAGTCTGTCTTCCTCCCAGGCTAAAGACCATGTACGATGCTATGAGACACAGTCAGAAACTGCAAGGAGCCCCCTCACATAGTGTCCTTAGGGAGCTCCTTGCAGTTTCTGACTGTCTCATAGCATCGTACATGGTCTTTAGCCTGGGAGGAAGACTGACTCTGAGCACAGAAAACAATGGTGCTCAGTGTCCCCCAGGTTTGGGTGAAGGGAGAAAATTCGGAATAAATTTATTTGGGCACCTCTATAAAGATCGTAGCCGAGTGATTTAAAGCCTTGGGCCCACACTCACGGGTGAGAGTTGTAATCCAAAGCATGTTTGAGTCCATCTAGCAAAGCCAGGGTTTTGGCCTAATGCTCTGTCAGGTGAGCATGGGCAATGAGACCCACCTCTGGTTGCTGACAGTGCAGGCAGCAGATCTGTCCTTAACTAATTCTCTCTCGTGGGTGTAAATCAGGAGTAATTTTCCCCTGAAGCCCAGGGCCTGACATCAGCATGAGATCAGACTCTCGATCAATGGGTCTGGGTAAGAGAGAAAGTGGGGTGGGGGGAGGAGGAGGGGACTGAGAGGGAATGAATGAATGAGTGAGTGAGTGAATGGGGTGTGGGAACTTGGTGCTTTGGCTGAATGAAGCACAGTGGGATCTTAAACTGAACCACGGGGCAAGGCTATTGAGAGACTTTGAAAAGACCTATCAAGAGTATCTGTTTTTTCTCTTTTCAGGGACTGGCCAACAATAGTTTTATTTTCTCCTTTACTTTCCATATGATTTTAGTCAACATCTTTCTTCTTTTTTTTTTTGTAGCCCGAGGTCGGGGAGAACTTTTTAGAACCAGGAAATGGGCGTACAGTGGTGGGGGAGGATAATGTGGCCCAACCCACTGCTGCCTTTGGTGCAGTGCTCCTCTTACTGCTCCAAAGCACCTGTGTGCAACATAGCTATAATAAGTCTGTTCACAGGCTCAGATCTACATGCATATTGCAGTACCAAAGGCTCTCTGATGTAGTCGTGCAAAGACGGCATGTAATGTCTTTACCCCCCCACCTTACCTCTCAGCCCCAGGGGAATGCTGTCCTCTCCATTTTGTAGCGAGCGGCCTACAAAAGGCAGAAATGAAGAGGGGTCAGCATGGGAAGCGTTTTTTTGGCATGAGCTAAGAAGGCTGAATTCACCTAGACTCTTATTTCCCTGATACTTTGAAGATCAGTTGGCCTCTCGCTTTGTCTGTGTGTTTGCACCCTTAGCATCTCCCAAGCAGGGTTACTCCAGGAAAGCAAGGTAATAATGCCTCCTGTCCAGCAGGCTGAGCCGCAAGGATGCAGGCTGCCTGCCTCGTGTCCCAGACAGCAGGAAAATGGCTCTCAGACCTAAAACTGCAGAGCATTGAGCCAATGAGCTAAGGTGCTTGGCTGAGACTGCTGTTGTCACGTGAAGAAAGGCAGCAGAGAAGGCACTGCCTTTGAAAGGGCTCCAGCAGGCTTTGTCTCAGCCCGGCAGGAGATGCCTTCTGTCTTTATCTTCAC